GTGACACTGGCAAAGGCGAGAGAAGTCATGGGATATTTTTCCCCTATAAAAAAAAGGTGTATAGTGAAGCACTGAAGTTAAGAGGTCAGAGTAGGTAGATTGATTTTATATACTTGCGTCAAGATATTATAATATGGATATGCCATTTTATTCATAATGTGCGGTAAGTACCGGAAAAAGTTCCGACATTGGAGCGTCAATTCTATTTCCACAGAAAGAAACAAAATACGGTGTAATTATTTCAAGATATTTTTGTATAAAATAAAATACTGATTTCTTTCACCATTACCTAACACTGGCAGCGAAGATTGATATAATTAATACGATTTTAACCTTAGGTAAACATAAATTCGTGCTGATTTCAAAATTCCGGAACAAATATCACAATGTATGTGTATGAAGTTTCAGTATTTTGGAGGCATATCTGTATTATCCTCTACGTTTGACGCTAACGTCCTTAAATCAATCTACCTACTCCGACCTATGGTGATGGTAGAGTAGAATAAGAACCCCCAGCCTTCCCATCAGTACGCTGCTGGACTATTGGACACTGGACTCCTGTACATAAGAGGGGTTGCCATAACCTCTATGGTTGGTACGCTGGTCAGAGATTGCAGTTTAAAAGACTTTGGTTTATAGAAGAGTTTTGCTACCTGGCGTCTGTCGTATACGTACGTGGTCCTTTATTCAGAAAAAAGGTGTCCTACCTTGTTTTTGGGGCAAGCGTCCCAAAACTGGACAACTCCTGTAAGCCAGGTTTGTACAACCATGTATATTCCAGAACACTGAAGTCTCACGTGTCCCAGAGACATGAATATCTTGGTTCCCACAACGAAATAAATCATCATATTAGAGAAGAAGAAAAAACGATACTTTCCTCTTCCCTCGGTGAATTCAATGTAGGAGACAGAATGACTTAAGCCTAAAGAACTTAGAACACCTGTGAGACTAAAAGAATACCAGAAATGGTGACAAATTCTACTTAGCTGTCATATCATACGAGTTACACAGTATAATTTACCGCATATAAGACAAGTACCTAACTTTAGGAAGCTCCCTACACATATAATTATCTTAAATCCGTCTATACCAAGCCAATCTAAGTAACACAATACAAGCAGTTGTTTGCGTGACCCCGCCTTGTTACAGAACCATGGGAATTCCGCTTTCCCATTGTTTGTGCACGTTTCAACCGTAAAGTACCCTGCATGGTTGCCGAATAATCTTATAAATTGTTTCATTGCTATCATTTTGGTTTGGATAGAAATTGGTGTGTCCCTTCGTCCAGCATACTCACCATGGAATCCTGATATTTCATGAATGTCAAAAAACTGTTCTGAAATAGTGCTAAATAGTGCCCAAAGGAAAAAAATAGTGCTCTTGTACTTGCGAAGTTATAGCCATAGTTCGATGAGTATGCTGGACGAAGGTTTCGCCCAGCATACTCACCTCCGTCCGGAGAATCTGTATACGCTTCAAACATAATTCATACTTCAAAAAATAGTTCCCAAATAGTGCCAAACGGTGCCCAAAAAGAAAAAACAGTGCTCGAATAACTTCGGAGTTATAGGCTTCGTTCAGTGAGTATGCTGGGCGTAGGTTCTACGCCCAGCATACTCACCTCAGTGCGCGAATATCGAACGAGCTATAGGTACAATTTACGTCTCAAAAAATTGTGCTTGAAATAGTGCCCAATATCAGTCCAATTTTTGCTTGACTTTTGAC